CGAAACGCCGCTTCTGCTTTTATTCGATTAACTGAAGTAAACGTTTTGACAATGGAGAGCAGCCCAAGTTCTCCAAAAAGATCAGCATATGAATAACGTTGTTATGGTGAACCCGCCTTATTCTGTCCTTTACACTATTTGCTAACTTTTCCTGATAACACAATGAAAGACGCTTGGTTTTCTACCTTTAGGGACCGGTTCCGATCCTCGCAGCCTGTCGCATTGCAACGAGCAGACTGAATTTTTCGTTTCTGGACTAACAGACGTTACTAGTTAGTCGCACACCAAAATCCAGTGAGAAAGCCACAATTCAAATCAGGATTTATTATTTGCTCAGTTGTGGCGACAGTTTGACTGTCGATTCCATTGACGTCGATCTTACGCCCCACAGCATAATGAGTGCGGGAGCGATACTATACTTCCGCCGCATTTATCGCACTTTGTCCTCCCTCCCCCATCGAGGCCCGTTATCCAGACAAAGATAAGAAGCTCCGTGTTAATCCAGAGAATTTCCCGCCTTTTCCGTTACAAGGGGCAGTTTTTGATATGTAAATGTTTTCTCACAATCAAATAGTAGTCAGTCCAAATTGGGTTGCCAAAAGTTATGAGCGGCTATTTAGTTTGAGACATCCTCAATTAACTTAGTGGTGCGCTAATTTATTTTATAAACGGTCACTTTGTGAAAATCTGCGCACATTTTCAGATTTCTCTGATCCTCAGTTCTATAAAACCCGGCGGCCTCGTTGTAATTCGAACACACAACAACAAGAGGAAGGTTGTAGTACAACCAATGCTCTAATCACCTGAGACACGAGGACCAAACGGGGACCCCGAGGTTAATCACATTTAGAGCAGGTTAACCGTCAAGCCTAATGTAAGGTTTGTAATCAACCAATGCCAATATAGTGAGCTGGCTGCCAGAGTGCACGACTCCCGGTAGGGCCTTATTTCTCAGGTGGTTATAGGGTAGGCTGTATTTAAGTCTTTCCCCCGCTGTTGCGGACTCAAATCCAACGGTGAACGCCACGTTTTTAGCAATTAGGTTGAATAGGTTTTTCAAATATCTCAAAATTCCTTAATAATAAAGTGCACTCCGTAGTCATCTAGTGAATTCTAGATTGCCCGCTTAGGTTATCCTGTTTGAGCAGTTAGTTTAATCTTTCAGAATTGTCGAATCCCGTAAGCCTCAGTAGACAAGGTGGGTAACAGGACCTAAATGTGATTAAACTTACGGCTCCCTGTGGAGCTTTATGGCTCAGATGGTTATAACGTGGTTTGTGCTGGAGCTTTTTCATTGCTGCCGTGCGTTTTAATCCCACTGAATCCATCGAGATTTTCTAAATTGGTTCAAACAAATTCTAGAGATATCTCGATCACTAGTGACTCTTTCTCTTTGTCATTTCCTGATTAATAGCTGGTAACAATAAAGTTGGTTGACCACCCTAGATGCGCCTTGGCCCTACTCCTGTGGTTTCTTTGAGTTTTACTAGTTGTAGTTTAGTTTTTGTTTAGTTTTTAGTTTACTATTTAGTTTAATTTCAGTTTTACGTTATTTAGTATAGTATCAGTACAGTTTTCTAGTATTGGCGGTAAATACCTAAACCACAACCTAAACCTAACTGAGCTAAACTTAAAAAAATAACTAGACAAAAAAGTAAACTATATTGGAACGTAAAATAATTAATAAACTTAAAACTAAACCAAACTTATACCACCGGTCCCGTAAGACAGAATTCTGGGGCAAGGGCTATCTAAGGTGGCCGACCAACTTTAGTTTTAGCGTATTTTTTAGTTATACTGTATTCTTCTGATGCATACTAGCTCAAGGGATAGTCATATAGCCTTTGGGTTTGCCGATTTTATGGTTGCTTTTCATTGCTGATAGAGCTAACTGCAAGTATCACTGGCCTGCTCTGTGTGCACACTGGCTTTAACTTAATTGTCAACCTCTTACCTGGTCAAAGCGGCCATGTGGGTGCCGTCAGGCAGGTTTTATGAAATGCAGAATTTTTGGAGAGTTGCGGGATTTTTTGAACAATTCTTGTGAACGCGTACTGTTATCCCTGTAAAATATCTGATATCTTAATCCTAAGAGTGACAGGCATTATTTTGCTTAGTGACTTGACTCTACTCCGGTTATGCGATTAGATGGGATGGACGCAAAACGGAGCTTTCGTAGAATGGCAAACATCTCTCTTTCATTTGGCTACACCGACTGCCTCAATTTACTTAGTTAATGTTATCCTTTGCAGTCCAACCAACAACCACCACTCAATAAACACAACTATCCACCGATGTCATGGAATTAGAGAGAGGGAGATTTTGTACACTACACTTTATATGCAAACGCAATTTCCTCAAGCAAAGAGAGGAGGGAGTTTAAAAGTCGACCAGTTGTGTCTGTTGTCATGTAAAGTTTTGCGATATGCCACGTGCCCATTCTCCAATCCATTGATGTTTCGTATCCCAAACTCAACGCCAAGCTATATGTTAACATTTTTCCAGCTATATCAAGCAGACGCGAGCATTTTATTTTGCCGGATTGCCTCAAATCAATCCTCAACAGATGGGTGGAGGATAACCCGTATTGTCAGTTGTCTCCGCCGAAGATAATTGTCGGAAGGGTCTTGGCTGGGGATGGGGGAAGGGAAGTGGAGGGCGTTGGAAGCCAAGATGAAATTAGGACAGTTGAGGGAGAAATAAATAACAGCCAAGCCCTGGTTAGTTTACCGAAATTCGTGCAAAACGCAAAATACAGTAGTGACAGATTTTTCATACATTCAGAACAGCTAAAGGTTTCCTGATGCCTCGTCAGTGCCGCCGTGGGCGAAGTCAGTGAATGGAAAATGCTTCCGTCCGGAGTCTTTCAAGGACTGAGTCCAGTGGGAAGAAATACAGCCACAGGAAGCCTTCGAGTTCTAAGATAAGAGGGCTTTAGCAAACCATGTGAGAAGGGATAAAAGTAGTCACCCACCACTCGAGCAGGCTTTAGATATGGACAAGCTGTTAACTATTCTAGAAGGGTAACGTGAACTCAGTAAAGGTTTACCCAAAAATATGAAGATAAAAATACGTGATTGGCGAACGAATACATGTCCATATCCAAATAAAGCACCCACTTCGGGAGAGGAGAAATATGGAGAAGAAAACACTTCCATTCGTTTGAACTAGTGGCTACTGAAATAGAACACTAGGCGTACACCTAGCTGAGTTTGGAACCATTAAAACTACCGTTCCTGTGGAAGACGATGTTGATAAAACGAAGATGGTGTTTAGTGGAGCTATATACATTGTTACCTAAATCATGCAACGTTACGATTGAACTACAAGTGCGTGGTTTAACGTAGACTTGTTCTTGTTTTTTGATTTGTTGATTGGAGGTGAGGCTCAGACATCCTTCTACCGAAGAAAATAATATGACAAGTCTTGAATATTAAAGGAAAACTGGCAGGATTTTAGCGAAGTCGGAACGTGCCGGATATCCAGGATATTGTCCATGTATTTTGGTATAACAGAATGAAAGCCTTCATTTTTGCATTGTGCTATAAATGGTCATTAATATAGGAAGGAATTATTTCGAAAAAACTGGAACCACAAAATATAATTTTAAGTCGATGAAAACTATGTGAAAGTACATTAAAAGAAAGGAATTATTTTCCAGGAAATGCTTTATGTTTAAAAATTATTTTATGCCCAATTTTGAGGGACTGTGCCACATCAATGCATATGTTTTCCCGTACATTGTTTAACC